CATGAAAAGCATCCAGGTAAATGGCACCTCTAGTTTTCTCCCATACTAAGACACTCTCTATAACCTTACAGCTCGGCAATTTACTAATCCCTAGGAGCCCCATCTTCCTAGGGCAAACAGCAGGATAAGGATCATGTCACTACACAGAATGCCCAGTACCTATCTAAGAGAGAGAGAAAGAGAGAGAGAGAGAGAGAGAGAGAGAGAGAGAGAGAGAGAGAGAGAGAGAGAGAGACTGTATGAAAGCAAGACAACAAAATATAAGTTTTAGTCTTTTCTCCAATTGTATAACAAAATACATGAGACTAGTAACTTAAAATGAGTAGAAATTTATTTGGATCACAGCTTCAGAGTTTGGGAAGGTAAGGGGCACGGTTTTGGAATCAGCTTTTCATTTGATGAGGGTCTCTTAGCTGCAAGGCAGCAAGGAAGAGGACATCACATGCTGAGACAGAGCAAACACACAGCCTGGGGTCTCTGTTCCTCTTCTCATAGATGAACTAATGCCATGATGGGGCCCCCACTCTCACAGCCTCACCTATTCCTAATTACCTCCCAAAGGTCCAACCTCCAGTCCAATTTCCATATTACCTGACAATGAAGTTTCCAATGTACACTTCTGGGGACACTCTAGCATCTGTTTCTCTGGAGAAACCTGAATGATACACTTGTAAGAGTAACACACTAAGCAAGGTCTCATTCTCCATATTCCAAATCTAACACAATCTCCATGAGGACGAGAGTCCCTGATGGGTGTAAGCATGAGAGTAGGAAAAGGATAGATGCATCTATGTTCTCTGGGTCCACAACACTACTCTGGGGATGCACAGAAGGGGAACTTTCAGTGGAGCCCAGAGACAGAGGAGGAGTTGATTGCTCAGCATCAGTGTGGTCACAGATGGGGATTCCTGTCCTCAGGCACGGCATGGCTCTCATCCGCATTTGCAACCATGACAATCCTGAGCTTCCCTCTGCCCTCCGTAGGTGATCATAAGAAAGTGTGGATTTATGGGAGAAAGAGAACTAACCTGATATGCAACAGAATCCACAGGTTGATTTACAAACAGGGCAGTCCTAACATGGTAACTGTGGTTTTTTTATTGGTACATTTCAGATATACATAATGATCACAATCAGCATCAAGAATTGTACCTGTACATGATATAACTTGATCTTTCCCATCCCCTAACCCTCCCTTCAATCCCTCCTCCCTTCCCCATTTACAAAAGCATCTAATAGGGAGCTTTGGAGTGGCAATTGGACAAGTCCTGCAAAACTGGGATTTGTCTGAGGACCAGACGTAGACACAGGGACCAGATCTTGACGATGGGCTCCAATGGTCACTGTTGGCGCCATTTGAGAATTTCCAGTGAAATACTGACAGTAATGTTCCCACACCTGTCCACTGGGGCTTCATGTCCACAGCTCTCTCCAGAATCAGAAAGAAGGTGGTCGGCGAGGCATCACAAACTGCTGCTCCTGGGCACTTCCACACCTGCAGAGTCCACATGTGTCCCAGCTCAGAGTCAACTGGGTTAATTACAATATGACGCAGGGCAAATCAGCTCAGCCAAACCCAGAAACTGGGAACCTACCACAGGGTATGCTGGAGAGGGCCAGCATGCTCACCTTGTATAGTAGATCCAGGTGAAGACATAGGTGAGGAAGAAGCCAGCGCCCATGGCAACTGCTCTGATGAGGGTGAGGAAGAAGGGCCAGGAGCCATCCTGGTTCTCAGCTGCACACAGGTAAAAGCATGGGATTCCTGTAACGGGAGGAGAATGAAGCTTAGTCCCAAGCCGTGTCCCATCCCCCATCCCAAACACCAAGCAGTCTGCCACCGCAGCTCCCGTCCTGTTACTCACTCTGCACAAAGAGGTTCAAAGACAAGTCCTGGGAGCCCAGAGGGTGACGAACTCGGCAGGTAAATTCTCCTTCATCCTCAGCTCCTACAGAGGGCAGTTCCAGGACCCCGGATACTGAGACCTGAGAGGGATTCAGGTCCCTACTCTTCCATGACCAGCTCAGAGAGGCAGGGGGGTTGCTGTCAGCCATGCAGACCAGACGCAAGGACTGGCCTTCCTGGACGATCAGTGATGTGTCATTGCTTATGGTCATTGGGACTTGGGGCACTGAGGGAGAAAGAGAGAGGCCATAGAGGGTACATCTGAGAGCCCTGACCATCCCTTCCTTTCTGATCAAACAGAATTAGGACACATAACTGTCTGGCTGATAAACACAGATACTCAAACCTAGGAATGAAGTGTGTGAGAAACCATGCAGGAAAGAGGCTAGGAGATTGGATACAGGGAGGTTGGTCATGTGAGCACATGGCAGGTGGGCATCTCAGGTGGAGAAGTGACCTGCAGAGGGACTGGGACAGCCTAGCAAATGGAGGGACCTGCACATGTATCTGGAATCCAGTATGGATCATAAAGTTGTTTGAACATGATGAGCCCAGGAAGCTGGACTGGAGAATAAAGGAATCACAGATCATACTCCAAACCAGGACAACCTCCGGGCTGTGCCATGAGGGTCACAGATGTCACAGAAGACCCTGAGATTAAGAAGAACCACACAATGAGTAGGAATAAGAGGACACAGCAAGGAGATGAAGTCCAGGCCTAGTGAGAGATTTGAAGAACTGTGGAGCTCACTGATCTAAGGGCAGCCTCTGAGAGAAAGGAATATAACACAGGGCCTGGACGGGGGATGACAGTGCCATGTTCTGAGAGCAACTCAGGACAGAAAAGCTCTGCCCTGAGCCCAGGGCAGAGCTCAGAACTGAGGAGTAAAATTTCTGAGTTCACCTAGGGGAGCCACCAAAGGGCAGAGCTGGAGGACAGCCTGAGCTATGAGGGAGACTCATATAATATGGCCAAGTTGAAGGGAGGTGGAAGACAGACAGCAAGCAAGTGGTAGTGCTATAGGAGGTAGGGCGTGGCACAGCTGACTGGAGAAGTGGATGGGACCTGTCAACGTCAGGGCAGCTCCAGATGAGAATCAGTGACAGTGACCAGAAGACCTAGTGGGCATCAGAGAGAGGAGGAAAGGCGGCCCAGAACAGGCTGAGGGGGGGAGGGTGATACGTACTGAATGCTTGTGTCAGATTTAAATTTCTCCTTTTTTCCACTCCGGTTTGAGTCTGCTTTTCAGCTGGGAGGAGTGCCCACCTTTATAATAGCCTCCAGAAAATGACTACTTTCCTACCTGTGCAATTTCTCCAAAAAATACTGATTTTCACAGAGAGTGCAGCATCTGAAAGACGGAACAGATTGGATTTTAAAGACAAAGTGTACAGGGCACATTGGGTTTATCCTGCAGAGCAACAGAACTTGGGGAAGGGCTGCTGTGGGTGGGACCTGTCCCAGCCCATCCACACCCGGGCTCAAGGCCACAGCACCGACAGCCCCAGATACCGAGCTCCTCCCCCCTCGCTACAGTTGTCCTCAGAGACCTAGATGTCTTCACCCAGCACGTACAGAAGACTTTGAACTGTATGGTTCTCTGTACTGTTACACCAGCCCTGGGGAAGTCCACCTGACAGGTGAGGATGGCGCCGTGGTGATGTGGCTGAGGGGTGAAGGTGAGTACTGAGGACCAGTGGTCGTTGCGGACTGAGGAACGGATGGCAGGTCCTTTCCAGGAGAATTTTGGTGGGGTGCCCTTCTTACAGGCCCATGGTACGCTGCAGATCACCTCTCCAGGGGACCCAGATTTCAGCATCTCTGGGACCTGGATCTCAGGTGTGTGGGTCAGGGCTAGAGAAAGGAAAGGGGCTGAACTGAGACTCTGAGGGGCATACATGGGCAGGATCCTCCCAACATCCTGCCATAGCTCCCACGTCCTTGGACAAAAAGGAAAGATTACCTCCATCTTTACCTTACCTGGAACACTCAGGAAAAGTTTCTGTTCTCGGAAATTGTGTTTCACGAAGTCACCTCTCTCCACTCGAAAGAAATATGACCCACTATCCTCCTTCTTTGCATCTGTGATGCTCAAAGAGCAGTTGTAGGCCTGAGGGTCCCCTATGAGCTGGAATCGGCCCTTGGTCCTCTCCTGCACTCGTTTCCTGGGGTCGTTTGTAGCCACTGCATCATCCACTGCAATGTCAACTCCATACTGGTACCAGTAGCCATAAGCTGGGCCAGATTGTGTCTGGGAATTCCAAGGGTAGAAAACGGAGCAGGGCACAGAGACACACAGTCCTTCCTGTACTGTCACAGACTGTTGTATTTTAATTTCGTATTCTGGATCCTCAGCCAAAGACTCTGGAAAGAAAAAGAGATTGAGAAAATGCCCCCCATTCCCACCCTGCGTCCCCCTGGCTCCTGGTTCTCTTACGTTGCCATAGCCTGGAGAGCAGCAGCAGAAGAAGCAAACGCAGCATCTCTGGTGTCATGAGTAACACTATAGGAAGGGCAGGCTGAGAAAATAAGGGTGACTCCAGGAGGAAGTCAGTGGGTGTGGTCATTACAGTAACTGTGCACATAATTGCAGTTTCACACCCAAAACTGCCGCAACTGGGGAGTTCATGGAGCTCAGCCTTCAAAATTTCCCTGCTCTGCAATATTCAGTGAGGCCTCAAAACAGCAAAGAGGCCCCAAGTCATGCTGGAGTGTGCACGCTTCCTACTGTCTTAGTTAATTTTTTTTTGTTGCTGAGACAAAATATGAAATGCCCAAAATTAAGGAAGGAAAGGTTTATTTAGCTTATAGTTTATGAAAGTTTTAGTCTATGTTTGGCTGGCTCTGAGGCAGAGTGGTATATGGCAGAGGGCAAACATTTATGGTGGCAAAACACAGCAAAAAGAACAAGAGCAAAAGGGAGGGATGGCAGCAAGCAGCCTCTTTTTTCCCCTTATATTGTAAACAGGCTTCTCCCACCCAGGGGGCGTAACAGCACTCACATAATCTCCCTGCCCACTTTTTATACAGGCTCAGGATGTATACAAAGTAAGCACCCTGGCTCCCTGCGGAGTCACTCAGCCCAACCTGTAGACTCCCCAAGTTGACACAACGTATCAACCATAACACCTACGTAGAAGATTCTACAACAAATTGGAATTATTTCTGCCACGCAGATGTCAGAATCTATTATGGAATTTCCCCCTGGAAATTGTTTACGATGAAATGTATTTCCTTATTGCTACATCACCCTTTGGGTTTTACATTTGTTTGCAGACAGTTCTTACATATTTATGTATCTAAACTTTAAAGTCAAGGCACAGATTTGTAAGAAATATCTTCTTCTACTCCAAGAAAATATAAAGAATTGTGCAGCAAAACGGATGCAGACAAAAGTGTCTGATTTTAAAGATATACTTAGTTACCTTTGTAAAAAAAATGAATTCCTGTTGAAATCAAGAAATCCCCAGGAGTGCAGTTTCAATTCAGTGGTAGACATGTCACCTGCATGCGTAAATGCTTGTGTTGAATTTGATATTCAGCACACCAAAAAAATAAAAAACTCACCATCATCGCTTGCTAGTTTCTACCCCCACTCAAATTAAGCACTATGTTGATTGTTGTTATCACTGATTAGCTTTGTCTGTTTCCTCCTTTGATGTAATTTCAAACATGCAGCCTGTGCTTTCTGTGTCTGACTTCTTGTGCTCAGTGTGCGTGTGTGTGTGTGTGTGTGTGTGTGTGTGAATTCTCACTGCTCTGTCCTATATCAGCAATTTATTTCCTTTAATGAAAGCATTTCACAATGTTCATGTCATATACTATGCAATCTTTCTAATTGGATGGACATCTGAGTTACTTCTAATTTGAGAATTTATGGAGAGTGCTGCTACAAACACATCTTCCAATATGTCTACGTAGTTTTGCTGGATGCATTGGTCTTTGGGTTTCAATAACTATCACTGTGTATCATATTTCATATACTGTGGAGCTGAGGACTGAACACAAGGCCGCTTCCATGCTAAGGCAGACCGGCCCCGCTTTCCTGTCTCCCCACCCCTGTTGTGCATATTGTAATTCCCAACAACCTCAACTCAAAACAGTGTTATGGAAGTTGTTGAACTCTGTTAAGCCTCCAGTGTATAGCCAATGAAATGTGTAATGTGATATTTTACTGAATCTCTGATTTGGACATTGCCAGTAAAATTTTAGTTCCTTTTATTTAAATGTCACATGTTCATTTAATACACTCAGTGGGCATTGTTAGTATCAAGATCTGTGACAGCATGACCCGACTAGGCAATGGGTTATAAACCAGCACACTATGAATGTGTGTGTGTGTGTGTGTGTGTGTGTGTGATAGCATCCTTTGTTATTTGCTAACTTCAGAAGGCAGAAAATGGGACATAGAGAGGGCTAGTGCCTTTCCTGTTTTTTATCTGTTAGTGTAGAAACCAGTGTTGAATGATTTCTCCTATTCTAAACTCTCTACCTTTTCCTACACAGAATTCTCTTGTAGTAATTTATAAGCCAGTAACAAGGTAGATTTACACTGTATAAACCAGTGTGTGAAGGATCCCCTCCCCTAGAGATGCTCTAGGCTCATTCTAAGAACAAGGCAGAGTCCCTGGGAGAGTCCTCACTGCTGTCTGTTTTCAGGGTACTTCAAGCTGATGCAACTATCTTGCAAGACCCCCATTCCTCATCTTGTGAGAGTAAAGAGAATTCAAGCAGAACTCCTGAGTTGAATGTGATTTGATCACAAAGGTTTGTACACAGAAACCTGAATGTTTGGGAATCAAGCCTTCCTTTGTGTGACCTCATTCTTCCACTCGGAGAGCTTGGCAATCCAGCTCTGCCACAGCTCCCTGTGCAGCACACCCCCAGGAGGCCCACAGGGGGAAGAACCTTTCTTTCTTCTACAATTTTCGTGAAAGTCAGTGATGTTGTGGGGAAATCAGGATGTGGGACAGACATGGAATAGTTTCTGCTTCAGCGGAAGTTGTGGGATGGATGATAGACTTATCTCTCCTGCTTTCTACAGCAACTGAATGGCGAAGATGGTGAGATCTGGACTCCCTCGGTCTCTCCCCACAGTCTGGTCCACATGAACCGAGCATTAATGTGGAGCACAGCACTGGGTTCCGCAGACCCATCCCTCACTTTTCTACTGTGAGGTTTTGTTTAGCATAATAGTAGCCATCTGAGCATCTCAGCACCTTTCCCTGAGGGATACAGGAAGCAATCTTTGTGTTTACCCACTTAGTATGAGGAAAGACAATGTGTACACATGTGTGCAAAAGTGTCAAACCAGGGTTTATGGCCACATGATGCTTCATCTAACAGGTTTTGTTTGTGCTTACTTGAGTATCACAGAGGGCGTAGTACATCCACACCACTCTAGGATTTGTTTTTTTAAAAAGTTTTTTTTTTTTATTTTTCTGGTAGAAGGAACCCAAGTCAGTAAAATGACACATGTAAAATAAGATTTGCAAGTCGTGTAGGAGTCAAAATTGAATTATCAGATTA